TGAAATATAACGCTCCATGATTAATGGAAACAAAAACAAAAACTTTTGCAACAAATTCATTTCTATGAAAGAAAACAAATGCATTCTGGGAATTAATTAACTGGACAAAACAAATTGGGCAACACGGAATCAAAACCATAAATTTAGGACGAGAGTAAACAAATTATGCAGACGCCTGAAACCTTTGCTACCACACATCAAACAGATCTTCTGCACGACCGTAAATTCTAGGGATTGTGCAATAGTTAGTTTGTTATATTTAAAGTGTACCCTAGCATAATGAAACGAACATTTTAATGAGGAATGCATGCTAATTGTTCAATTAACAATCAGTTTTAAATCATATAAAGCAGTCATCTTTATTTAAAGTGTCAATAGTGAAAAAATACTGATCTAAAATAAAATTTCCAGTATAGTAAATGCTATATAACGTAGTTGTTAAAATGTTCGTATATTGAACCGTTTCCAAGAATCAAATATAATGATGCAGACTTTTAGCACTTCAACTTTATGCCAAATAAATATCACACAAATTATATAGAGTTATGAGGACCATTTGTAATATTTTTAATAAATTTAAAGACAGTTTCGTTTTTATAAAATAAATAACTTATTTGTGCTCAAAAGAGATATGTTAGAAATACGAGAATACGATGTTATTATTATGTCAAACTGTCTAATATAAAGTTACAGTGATTTATTTATTATTTCAGAATAAAATACATTTTGTCAAAATTTGCTATTTTATCACTTCTATCACGAAAACTCTTGTCTTAACAGAGGGGTAATATGTCGCAGTGTGAAAAAAGCATGTGACCATGATAATACATTCTGTATTTACGGTAAAAAAGAGCAAATTTTAATGAAGTCGAAATAATAGCGCTACATCTGAATAAATTATTTCTTGCATGATTAGATTAAGAAATTGTCTCTATTTTTACTTTAGAGGCGGTCACGTGTAAAACTGATCATTTCTTAATTTTGAAAAATGTTCAGATGACACTATAACCTCCATAGTATTGATTATTTTTGTTTTATGTGTTTTTGTTTCCTATATTGTCAAATATGTGACGTAAAATTATATTCCAAAATGCAAAAAACACCATCACACAAACAAAATCAAACTGCCTATAGAATATCATAATATTTTTGATGTATTATCTTCACATAAACTTAGAATATTTTTTACTGAAACTAAAAAATCTATATATTTATGTCTTGTTAAAACTGCTTACATTTTCTTGTTCATGGAAGCAACTTGAACTGGCCACATCTGCGTAAAGAGCAATAATGTTTTGAAATGTCATCCGGAGCAATAAAGACATCGTAGGTTTTGTTACATTAATATCATTATCTTCTTTGTTAGTGTTCTACTTATAATGATCAACAGGTGTCTAATGAGTATTAAGTCGAAAATTTAAGAAGACTGTTTGTGATATATCATTATTTCCAACTGTTAGAATTACAAATAAAAAACAAAAACAAAGTAAAACCGGAAAAAAGCATAGAAAATTATACTAAAAAAGGTAACATATAATGAAATTATATCTTACTATTTTAAAGTATTTTAGATAGTCCAATTGCTTTGACGGTTTAGATAAAATTAGGCTTTTTTCACGTAAATGTTTTCTAAACGTAGAAATACAGAATTACTGTAACCATATAGGCAAACAGACACACTAATCTATGAAAATACATTATATAATATAATATGTTATATATTATATATATATATATATATATATATATATATATATATATATATATATATATATATATATATATATATATATATATATATATATATATATATAATATATATAATATATATATATAATTGGTAAAAGATATTTTTATTCGTGTAAATGAAACACATAATTATGTAAACGTTATTTCAAATCTTACTTCAGTTTTCCTAAAAAAGGAAAACTTGTTAATATTATAACGTTTATAGCGAATTTAGTTCGCTATAAAATTATTATAAATTATCATTTGAAATTGTAAGTTACACAATAATTTAATATCAGATATATGAATAATATCGAATTGAAGTTTTTTTTAGGTTTCTTTATAACTTTTTTATTTTTTTCATTGGGAAAATATTGTGCGCAAAATAATTATGTTTGTTTGGAGAATGAAAGACACGATGTAATTCAAACAGCATTGACGTTTTAGAAAATAAGAAAAAAAGTTGGTAATCATGACCAATGTAGAACATCGTGTTCATTAAAATTATCAAACGTGTCAAATTATAAATGTAAAATTCGTACATTGAATGTATCACGACAATAGAAACTTTCTTAAACATGAAGTAATCCCACTTTTGTTTGAAAAAGATAATAAACAGGACATAACAAAGAATAATTCTATTTGCATTTATGCTGGTCATGACAATGAGTGGGCAAGGTGTCTATTAGTTATCGGCATTTTGTCAATGCAAAAAATGACAATATAATTTTATTGGCATTAGCACGTATTGTTCGTGTTACTATAATAACTGCACGGGCACAATAAAATCAAGCTTTTTCTATATTTCATATATGGTGTATCAGTAAACGATACCAGAGCTAATGCATATTGCCAATTAACACGGCATTACAACAACTGGATGTAGCGAGCCGATTTGCTATATTTCATCAACTAGTATACATAACAAACTGCTAGGGAAGCATCAATATCATATTGCCCTTGTCTTGTCAGAGCTCATATTTCTTTCAAGTATAGAAAACATAGTAAAACCAATGTCCTGGGACACTGCGTTGTGATTTAATTGTCTAGAATAACATACAGCCATGATTTGACACGTGTAATTTTTTCTGACATTGATTAATTTGGACTGTCTCTACCACGCTCTGTATTATATTTGGGTAAAAGATAAAGCAATATCGATAAAGAGAAAAGAAACGACGATAGAACATGTTTTATAATTATCTAATTTCATATAAAATGGCTATGATCAATCTAGGGTATGCTCGATAAAGCGTTCATATTTACATATTTAATCATGCAAATGATGAGTATAATTTGTTTTTTTTTCAAGATCATATCAAATAAAAATATCAGAGGCTTCTTTAATAAAAAGTTGAACAAACTTATTCCTTACAGATATTCATGAATTGCATTTTTAAGCAATGAAGTATAACAGACTTTCGTATACATTTTATATTAAGCATATTAAGCTGGAATATTGTTTGAATTTAGTTTTAAATAGATGCAATGTACAGAAAAGTATTATACATTATAAATAAATATGTTTTAGTGTACAAAAAATTAAAACAAATGTAGTAAGGAGATTCAATTCTTAGTTGAATTGCTGGATATACAAATGTTGCTAAGTTAATTATTACAATGTATTTATATTTCATTATTTACATGAATTAATTAAATTAGGCCAAACTATATTAGATACAAAATAAATATATATGTAGGAAGCTTCAGGGTAAATGTTAAATTATATAACGGCTAATGAACCTTTGATATGTTAAATGTTGTCAAGTGCATAAATCTGGTAATTTAAACGTACTAAGGTGCGTTCTATACCTATACTTTAACACAAACTCATGCATTATATTTTGCATAACCCATTTAAAAGTTTTATCTGGCTTTTGCTAATTTAAATATAACTTAAAATATAAATGTTCTTGAGATAAATGTCTGATCAGTAGTTGACTCTTATGGAGGCATGTTTAAAACCTTATTTATTTCTAAGAATATGTCCATAAACCTTGTACAAAAGCGATGAATAGTATTAGCATTATATAGATAATAATACGAATGTAAGATATATGTTGATTTGATACTTTAAAACAGGACCGATATTAAGAATCATATAAAATAATAAGATACTTATAAATTGAAGAAGAAAACGGTATAATTTTTTAATCTTGTTACTACTTTTAAATGTTTGTGTTTAGTGTCGTTGTTTCTTCCCTTCTAAATACCAAAAAGTAAATTGAAATTGCAATTGTTATTTCCTAGATTTTTACGATTTTTCTGTACTTTACATATTGTTTCTTCTAGTCAATTTTATTTATTTTAAGAAAATATATTTCTGAATAATCTAAATACAGTGTACATACGATTTCTTTCTTTAGTATTTTTGAAAACTATCAAAGGCTTTTGTTTCGGCCTGTATTCATCGTCTTTTCCTTTTAATTAAAAGTTATTATTAGTAAAGTAAGGATCACAGTATTTTAACCACACATGTTATCAAAAGAATATAATGTGTAATTGAAGATTTGTTACAGTCGTTTTGCCTTGCATGTATATTTTGTATAAAATATCAAACATTCTGCCGATGGGTGAAAAGTTGTTTTTTCTTTCACGTAAAGATCGTCAGAATTACATGCTATTTGATATATGTGTTAATACAAAAAAAATAGATAAAAAAATATATGTGTATACGTATCAGAAGCAAATCTTTTAATTTTTCCTCTAACACCAAATAACTTATGCTTCAAAATCAGAATCAGAATCAACTTTCGATGTGCACTTTATGACTAGACCGGTCTGCTACATGACTATGTAAGCATATTTTGTATTAATGGATTTAGACACTCGCTGTGACAGGGTTACCAACGGCATAATTACGACAAGATGGGATTTTCAGACTTTCAATGGATGCGATGCTTCCTTTGTCAAGTCGAAAACTATTTTGATACATTGTGTATGGCATCAGCTAAAATGCAGCAACAATTTTTTGATGAATATAAAATTGATTTCTTCCGCAATATTTTGAATAAGAACTTAAATAAAACTCACATTTTTCATAATATTACAAGAATGCCTCTTAATTTTCCCATTATTTCTATCTACAATTATATTATATTTTGGTTTTAGAAACAAATTTCTTAATTCTAAATATTATATCCTATTTCTAGAGTTTTTTGTTTTTTTTTGTAATTCTAACGAATTTGAATATAAAGAAACACATAATTACCATGTTAATAAATGAATATCTAGTCTTCCATTAATATGTTTTAAATTAAGATTTGACTTACCAATTATACAAAGTCCTGTTTCCAAATAAATGTAAAGTACGGATAATAAAACTAAACGTTTCATATTGAATGAATATATTTAATAAGAATCCGAGATATATATGCGTGTGCTCGTCTGTATCGTCTGAAATTAATGTAGAATGAGAACTAAAATTCAGCCGGAACAAGAAAATACCAAACGTGTTCCTAACAAACTTCTGTTAATTCTATTATTGCTTAACCGATAACTGCTATTTTATAAACCTCTGGCAATAAAAATTATAAAGCGCGCAAAATTAGCAGACGATACGCTGCGTCACAAGTCCAGCGCGCGCAATGACGTTATTGGTACTTCTCTCTAGTATGTCTTTGGCGCTATTAACACTGAATTAGATTGATTGGAAATTGCCATGTAGGTAACAAAGGCCCGAGCAAATGTCTTGTGTTTAGTATTTATGGTTTAATTGCTGTAGGAAAATATTGCCATGAAAATAAGTTAATGAGTTTATCGTAGGTCGTAGGCGAAAGTATAGTGATTTCAAATAGTTCTTATGAAATATTCAGAAAGTAATGTCACGTTGAGCATAAAAGAAGTAGATAATCTAACTCCTTAACGGCTTGTATTAGTCGATATCAATGTAACGAGCATTGCTTGGTTATAATATGATACACCATTTTGAAAATATATGAACTGCATCACTTTAAATATATAGATCTATATACACAAATGTATTATATTAATGTTTTATATACATTAAATGCATATGAATGATATTGCTTACCTTTGTTACAAATATGCAATTGTTCTATGTAAGCATGTCAAGAATTTCGCCCTAAACTAATTAGAGATGAGTATACTCTATAACATGGTAAAAGGATGTTACATGAGTGTCTTTTCAAATTGAATTTATTAAACGAGACGACAAAATGAATATATTGAGAGACTTTGTCGAGTCTTCTATCTTTCTTCCTCAGCGGGATTAATAAATTCAATTTGGAATGACTGGAATGATTTTATATGCTATTTATAGCATGTAAATCCTTTATTCTTACAACAACGTCAGTGTTTAACTGAAAGACATACAAAAAAATAGCTCCGTTTAAAGCAGAACGATCAGAAAAATCTATAAATTTTGATGTTCTACTTTTTGATAAGCTTAGTACAAAAGATTGCAAGTTTAGTACATTTTTTATCAATTGCAAATTATATGATCTTAACTATAGACGTTTATCTGTTGATCTAGTTGTCGTTAGCTTATATTATTGGGAGATAATAAAGATAGGATTGCTGATCAATTAAACTTTAAAATAATTATATATAAATATGATCAAGTTTTACATGCAATATTATAGAGAAGTCTTTCCTGAAATGATTTTTATAGTTTACGAGCATTCTAAATTTGAAGTAAGTCAATCAATTCATGTTTGAATTGATGCTTGAACTATCCTTAAAAATAAAGATAAAATCTAGTAAATCAACGCCTGGTTGATGCTGTTTACAGTTTTCATGCTAAACTTTTAACAAAACATGAAACTTACCGACAACATTTATTACAATTGTTAAATGTAATAAACAACACAAACAAACAACAACAAAACACAAAAGAAACCAACACAAAACAGGTCGCCACGTTACCAACTGCCCCAATATCTATTGAAACAGCAACTGGCTTTTAGACAATAACCGATTACAAAATTCTTTAAATTAGATATTTAACGAAGGTGCAGCTACTCATTGTTAATCTAGACATCTAGACATTTCAATAATTTATACAAATTTTGAAATGACAGTTTAAAAAAAAACATTTTTAGTGAGTTAGGTACGGAGCTTTGATCGAAAAGATATGCAGTTTATCGGGGGTTTGAAAATCCAAAACTCGCGGTTTTAATCAATCAAATTTCTCTATCAAACCGAGCCTGCAACATTTTCAGTTTTGCCGTTTTTGGCTTTCTTAAGGGATTCAATTTTTCTTTATTTGAAGGGTTTTGGGCGTAGTTGCACAGGGGATTACTACTTGACATAACGAAATGATGTCACTTAGAGTTTTCCTCAAATAATAACTGTTACATCGTTATAATTGTACATTGATTAATTATTATACAATATTTTCACAGATTCACGGAATAATTTGATTCAAGTTTGATTTGAAACAATTACTGTTTTCATGCTAAAACGTTCTGACGTACGTTGAAACAATGTTTAATTTTCTAGGTGTAACACGATGAATTTCAAATTGATTGCAATGTTTAGAATTTAACGTCATGTGAACAAAAATCTATATTTGCTACATTTAATCAACAAGCTGTGTAAATATAAATGTGATCAAAATTCAATATCGGCATCTCAATGATTTGTCTTGGTATTGATCATTATATTTTTGATACAATGTTGTTAAAAAAATCCTACACCACACAAGTTGTATATCAAAAGCACCAGAGTTTAGAGAAATGGGTCTATTTTCATGATATAAGGTAAACCGACAAAATGAGAGAGTTATCTCTCTTTTCACAATAATGTATATAAAAAGGTAATTGTTATCTATATAGTAAGAATAATTTACCAGTTTCATGTTACATGCATTTGAATTAAAAAACAATTTTCTAACAGTCCTACTGTAAACCAGTTGTTGATTAAAACAACTTTTCTATAACACATAATGTAATAAGTATCCGCCGATTCTCTTGGGGGCGGGGGCTCCGTTTGGATGAGGAAAACAAATAAAGGTACACTATATTTAGATGAACCGTGAAAAAAAATATAGAACAGTATGGAATTGGGGTCGATAGTGAAAGGGAGTGGTGGACAACTATAATATTAGTCTCGATCGACAACCTTTTAAATTTACCATAGCATTATGAATTAAAAATTAACAAACGATTATGGTTACATGACACGGTAAAATTTAAAGTTCATTCTTTAATGTACAATAGGTCGCATGACAATAAACAAATCACATCATTATTACCATACCTCACTTCTTTAAGTTTCCATCCCATTGAAATGACACATTGTATGAAGTGACACACGACTGTCTCGAAGTGTATTTCGAAGAATTTTAAATAATATTGACACCATAACAATAAATGTATTGAAACAGCATTCTTATAACTGATAACTAACGTTTTGATTATTGAGGATTGTGTTTTTACAGTTACAATTGAAATCACCGACGTTGATTTTCTCATTACGCGTGAAAGGCTGAATACATGGCCAAAGATTGACCTGTGTCATTTTCTCACATTTGTTTCACAGACACTTGGGTTGTGGAGCTTAAAACGCCTTTAAAATCCAAATAAAATGTAGATTTGTAAATCCCAACGCATGTTCTGATCATATATAAAAAAAAACAGCAAGATAAATTCAAACGTGGCTCCCAAGCTTTGCCGTGTGCAAAATGCGCTCCGCTTTGAAGATGGGAACCGGTCGGCTATGGACGGAGCAATTCGGTAATATGTTGGTTCCCATAATTCAAAGCGGGGCGTATTTGTACACGACAAAGCTGGGGCGACGTTTGACATTATCGAAAGATTTTGTAAATGGAGTAAAATTGATAAAATCTTGATAATTATTTCGGCTGTTGCGTTGTTTATAATACCGTTGAAGTTTAAAATTGACCATCATCGTGAAGAAATGTATCTTCTGTGTCGATGGACCAAAGGATTATGTAAAAAATATTGGAAATGGAATAAAATACATGGTGATGTTGACGGTAGGTGTGCGGATTTTTTCCGGCGAACATTTTTATCTTGTGTATTATTATAGACGTTGAAATATGAATTTTTTTTCAAAACGGCTTATGTTAAGATTTTCTGATATATATGATCTGTACATGTGCTGGGATTGACAAATGTACATTTTATTTGGATTTTAAAGGCGTTTTAAGCTCCACACATCAAGTGTCTTTGATTTGTTTCTGATTTACACTTAACATACAAAGTATATCTTAATTCATATGGCGTTTTTCTATCCAGTGTTCAATTGTCATTTTGCTTTCTTATAACTTACAGGTTATTATGTCGTTTTTGACAAGAAAACACAGGATGTACCCATCTATTAATGTATGTTCAATAATTCGTGTTTCCTCAAATGGATAGATAACCGTTGATTTTAACTGAATGCTAAAAATAACAGAAGACATTTTCTTCTGCAACAAATGGACCCGATATGTGGTGTCTGAATCACGAATCTTGTCATATAGTATTTCTATTAAATCAAATATATTGTAAAAGGTATTTAGATTGAATCAATATCGATTTGGATATGAATGTATCAAAGGACACTTCTGCTATCGTTTATATTTTTTAGAGATCTGTTAAACTCCTGGAGTACAATTGAAGCTTATTACTGAAAAATGTAATTGTTTCAGACTTGTTTCAATTATGTTAATGACAGCACGGCTTCCGTCCATACCTCTAACACTCGATCCAAATATAAAGGGGGGGGGGGCTTAATACGGAAAAAAGAAATATGATGCAGACCCGGTTTGACAGAGTTTTTTTCTGAAACGGCACTGGTATGTGTAAGTAACTTTTTAAAAGAATGATGTTATTAGAAAATTAAAAACCACGATGAGATAAAAATCATTGAAGACCTGTACGTATTGGATAATAAAATATTTTATATACATTATATTCCATTTGTTTAGCTTTTTTTACACTAAATACCTGTGATAACAATACTTGTACAAAATAGTAAAAATTTGTGAATCAGATATATTGATACATGATTTTACATGCATTTTTATGTCTATGAAACAATTGAAATCAAGTGACAACGATAAAATATAACAATGTCCAAAAATTGATTTGAGAAATTTTCAAACCGAATACATACAGTTTCCTTACACTGCCATTTAATCTATACATTGGATGGATGAAAAGAGTGTATGTACCATTATTCAGTTAGTGACAAATTCCAACAGATTCCGATGATGTGTATACATAACCTTAAACAGATTCAAAATCACAATCCGTTGTTTCCAATAACTCGAAACACAATGTACCCTTTTTACCTCTAGTAAATTCAAATGACATTTTTACATATATCAAACCAATCGACATTGTGGAGAAGTCACTAGTGAATAATAATGACATATTCTAGAACAGTCTAAAATTCTTGTTTTAGAAATGATACAGATGTACGGAAACACAATTAGTACATGCTTTACGATAGCTTCAAGCTTCAAGTTATCCATTTATCATTACTGAGATTTATTGTTTTGAAACGGCTATGCTATATAAAAGAGAAAAGATCAAAGAAGCTATATAGGTTACATAAATCATATTTGCGCCGCGTCATGACAAAACCAACATAATGGGTTTGCGACCAGCATGGATCCAGACCAGTCTG